CAGACCACGTCTCTCCAGCCCCTCAACCATGGACACCGACCCATGGGTGGCTTCAGCCACGGGACAGTGATGCTGGGAGGGAGCTGCAGGGCTCGTGCCAGCGGTGGGTACCACAGACACAGACAGGCCATGGAAAGGGTGGTTCACTCAGGCGCGGACATGATGCCGCACCGCTTTTGGCATAGCCTCCCCCCCATGTTACCGTGCATGTAGTCCGAGAGCAGGAAGGGGTCTGAGGTGTCAGGGCCCACCTCCTCCAGCAGCTGCTTGGGCACTGCAAGGAGAGCAGACACTAAGAATCATCACCCTGCCCCTCCCCGGCAGCCCCCTGCCTGGCCATGGAGCCCTGCACCCCTGCCTGCATGGTGGGCTCAGCCAGTGACTCCCATGCCCCCAGCCCCGTGGGTGGCTCTCACCGCAGGTATAGGAGACTCGCAGCTGTTTCTTTGTGCCGGGGAGGCACGGGTCCCCGAAGGTGGCCCGATCAGCAGCCACGGTGCAGTTCCCTTTGCGGTGGCACTTCTTGGAGACCCTCCGCAGGGCGTCTGGAGCCAAGCACTCTGCAAAGACATGGGGCATGGACGCGCAGGCAGATCTGCCTGCCCCTGCTCGCTGGGCACCAGGCAGCTAGGGCCAAGGGGCACAAGTATATCCCAATGCCATACTTGTGCCACGCTCTCCGCATGGGTCCTGGCCCCATTTGTGGGTGGAACCGTTCTGGCATACCTATATGAGGTCCCCCAGTGTTCAGGGCATCGCACTCCGGTTTTCCCCGCAGGAATCGTCCGTAATTTGCAGAATAAATGGCCAGGATAGATTTTGGTCGGCATTGCAGCCTCAGCTTGTCGTCCTCGCACACAGTCTTGACCCGATGGTTCCCTGGGGAGTGACACTGCACTGTCCTAACGCATCCCGAATTACCTGTAGTCCCCTCCTCCCTTAGCCCAGACACGGGCAGGGCTGGAGGAGGGCTGCGAGATACAGGAGCAGCTCAGCTCTCCCCTCTGCCCCTTTCCGAGCAGCTGAGGTTGGGGAGGAGCCCACGCAGCATCGCCCAGACCCTGCTCCACCTCACCTGGCCGGCACTTGTAGGAAGCGATGAGGTACTTGTGTGTCCCAGGGCACGGGTCTGGCCCAAAGACTTGGCTGTGCACTGAGAACTGGCACCACTGCTGGTCCTGACACTCAGCCAGCAGCTTCTGGAGAGCAAAGCGGGACAGATGTGAAGATGGCTGAGGAGCCCCGAGGCTGTTCTTGCCTCCTCTCCCTTGGTGCCATCACCAGACCCAGGGAAACGGCCTCTCACCCCACAGAGGCGTCCTGCGGCTGCTCACACCCCACCCCTGCTGCAGTCACCCTGCTTCATGCGTGGGTTCCTGAATCAGTTCCTCCCTTGTGCCCACACAGAGCTGTGTGCCACGGCTGCCAGCACCTGTGCCGGCACGCACACCAGCACTGCAGCACCCCACGCGTGTGCAACACCCCTGCAGGCGCGCACAGCGAGGCGACTCCGTGCCCTCACGCCCACACGCCCACGCCAGCACGGTTCCGTGCAATGCACGCGGCCAGAAGATGGGGAGGGGGGTCGCCCTCCGGGATGCTGGGCACGCTGCAAGCCCCAGCAACAGCAGACCCACAGCCCGGGCAGAGGTTCATCCCATGCGATCACGTTCCCCTGGGTGGAGCGGCTCCATCTCACTGCAAACCTGAGCCACACAGATCCTGCTCACAGACCTGTCCTTCGGCCTTCAGACGTCTGTGCTGGACTGTGTCCTCCATCCTGTGCTTGACACAAAAGCTCTGGGGACCCTGACCTGTGTTTGCACAGCTGGCTTGGTGCCATGCCAGCACGGTCCAGCTCAGCACTTGCAGAGCTCCTGGAACATGCGGGATGCTGGGAGGGGATCTGCGGCTGGAGCAGGACCAGGCAGCAAAGCCTCGTGAGCTCCCGGAGCAGGCAACTGGCCCATCAGCTCTTGTTCCGCTTCTCGAGCTCCATGTTCCCCTTCCCCACAGGCGGCCGCACGCAGCTGGGTTTCCTGCGGTTTTGCCCAGCCCTAGCAAGGGCTGGAACAGGAATAGCAAAGCAGCACATGAAACTGTGTCCCCATTGAGGGACTGTCCTGCCGGCCCCCACCACACATCCCAGCTGCCCTGGGTTTGTCAGAGCCCTGTGACCAGGAGGGAAAAGCATGCACCGATCGGCGGTGCTGTGTCTGGCATGGCATGGCACGTTGCCCATCTCACCCACTCTCCTGCAACCAGTGGGTGCAGCATCTCCCCAGCTGTGGACCAGGGGAGTGGCTGGACCAGGGACTTGCAGCTGGGGCTGAGGAGCATTGCCCAGCTGAGCAGGCCTCTGCAAAAGGCAGCGACCGGGCTGCTGTGACCACAAGGCCAGCTCCAGCCCCAGGTGCTCCTGCAGGAGGAGGGGGTCATGGGTGTGTGCAGCCCCCAGGAGATGGGGCTCCAGCATTCAGCCAAGGTTGAAGTTGCTGAGAACTGGAGGAGTATGGCTGGCAAAGGACACGTGCTCGAGGCTTTGCGGAATGAACGCTATTGCTCTCCTTGCTCCTTCCCAGGTGACTGCCGTGATGCCCGGACTGGGCTGCTGCCAGCAGCAACAGCTGGCCTGGTCCAAGTCGTTCCAAGGCCATGGGTGCCGAGGCCAGCCGTGCTGGCATGGAGAGCCAGAAGCCAGGGTAAACCTGCAGGATGCCAAGGGACAGTATCCCTCCCAGATCCTCTCTGCCCAATTCCTCAAGCTGCTTATGATGTCTGATGTGTGGAGCTGGTGGAGGGTTGATGTCCTCACCAGGCACAGGGTTTTCTCCCAAACACAAAGAGGAATCAAGCACAGCTGCAGTGTGGAGAAGCCTGTGAGGCTTTTGGAGCAGCCCAGCAAGTGCTTCCTCCAGCCAGGCATCAGCTTTGGAGAGGTCCCTTCCCTTCTGCCAGCCCCCGCCTTCCTCCCCTCTCCCTGCGCTGGCTACTGCTATCAGCAGACCCTCCTTTGGGCCTGCTTCATTAATTCGCTTCTTGGGAGCTGCCAGCACAGACAGGTGCTTCTTCTGGCTGGGAAGAGCCGAGCTCTGTGCTAACCTCAGGGGATGCACCCACAGGGCTGAGCGCAGCATCACTCGTGGGCCCCTGTCCTGCTTCCTGAGCCTGGCACCCTGGCTGCTGCATCACCCCTCTGCCAGGACCCAGGCCCAGCTGCCAGGGCTTTCTCCGAGCCTGCTGTGTCCTGTGGGATTGCTCCAAAACCCAGCGCAGGATGCAGCTGTGCCTCCTGCCAGGCTCCTCTGGCAGGGCTGCCCCACCCTGGGACCCACTGCAGAAGGTCTTGTCCACCCTCATCTCCCAAAAATGCTCCAGGAAAAGGACCCCAAGGCTGAATCCTGATGCCGATGACAGCAGCCTCCCTTGGGGCATGGGGAGGCTGCGCTGCCTGCAGCCACCTAGCCCAAGCAGGTAGCCCAGTGACCTGGGGAAGGAGGGATGTGCAGCCTGGTCCCTTGGGACTCCCAGCCCTTACCAGGTGGGCGGTGGTGGACGTGCAGTCGGTGCTCTCCTGGGAGGCGTTGCCAGGGCTGGGGCAGAGGTTGGGGCTGGGTACGCGACGCCCGTAGAAGGCGCCGAGGATGCTGATGGTGGTCTTGCGAGGGCAGATGATGAGGAGCTGCTCCCCGTCACAGGTGTGGGTGGTGTGGTTTCTCAGCACCTTGCGCAGGTACCCTGGAAGGTGAAAACAGGGGTGGCATTGGCCAGAGGAGACACCAGGACCATGGCAGTGGTGGTTCTTGGGCTCCTGACAGGCGGTGGCAGTGAGGATGTCCTGGGCTGGGGCGCTTCTGGGGCAAACAGGGCAGTGCAGGACCTGTGGCAAAGAAGGCGGGCTTGCAGCAAATCTTGTATCCAGCATTGCAGCCAAGAGGATGGAAAGCAGCATGGAGTAGCCGAGCTGGTTAGCAAAAAAGCTGGAGGCAGGACGACAGCTCAGAAAAAACATATATAGAAGAATCCCATGAGGAGTAGTCAAGGGTTTAGAGAAAATCAGGCTTGTTACGGAGACATGGGGAGGAGAGAGCAAGGATGAGCCAGAGATGATCACCCAGAGGCGATCATTGGAGTTGGGGACAGGAGGATGCTTTCCGTCCCATGATGCCAAGCCACGAGCTGGAGGAGAGAAGGCTCCAGTGGTTGCTGTGAGCTCCCGCAGTTGGCTGGGTCGGTATGGATGGGTGTGAGCCACCAAGTCACCACGGAGCCCAGCTGAGCCTGGGTCTCTGCCAGAGAAGCCCAGGGCATCAGTGCAAGCCATTCCCAGCCCATGGCTTTTCCAATGGGCATTGGCCCTTCTTTCCCTGAATTCCTGGCGTGGGGTATTTCTCTCTTTTAATCCTGTCTAGTTTGTGTCCCAAACCACTTACCCTGTTGTTTTCCCAGGGACAGTAAGTTGTGGCTCTCCTTCCCCGCCTTTAAGAGGGTTTAATATGCAGCTATCAGCTCTGGCTGGTGTCAGCTGTGCTGGGTGCTGGATGAGCTGTTTTAATAAAAGCTCTGCAAGCTGTGAGGGGTGCTCTGAGCAGGCGCTGGTTACTGAAGGAGGCTGAGGAAGCAGGAAAAGCTGACAAAAACTGATGTGTAGGGCCCTGGACAGAGCAGTTTGCGCCAGGCCTTTGGATGAAACAAAAGCAAGGGGAAAGCATCATTTTGAGGCTGGGAGGTGGGGACAGGGCAACCTGGTACCTGCCAGGCAGGACCCGGGGCTGCTGCGTGAGTCACAGTCCCCAATCCCCCGCTGTGGGGTCCTTGGAGGGACAGTGCTGGGGTCTGGCACAGGACACGAACCCTATCCCCAACCTCCCCCCAACTGATACAAGAAGGTGGGACCTCCAGCTCACGGTCTCGTGCTTCTCCCTCTGTCCCTCTGCAAACCGGTGCCAGGCTCAGCCGCACAAAGGGCCCCTTTCACCTTCCCTGCTGCCACTAACCCTTTGGCATCTGCGGCCCAGCATCCCTCCCCGAGAGGCGTCAGCGGACGCGGCTGGGAGGTGCCCCTGCTCAGAGTTAGTCTTTCCCTCGGACACGGGCAGCTGCTGGCACTTCTCCTTGCAAGCATGGGATGAGCGAGCGGGAGCGCCCCAGCCCTGTGTGAGCGAGCCCCTGCTTGCTCCTCTGCATGCTGGAGGAGAGGGGAAAGGAGAGGCGGAGGAGGGTGGATGGGAGCAGACAGGCTGTTTTAGCCAGGCCAAAGCTCCAGCGAGATGCAAAGATGCTCCTTGGAGGGCGCAGAGCTGGATCAGCCCCTTGGGGTGCAGTGCCTACACAGGGCAGTGCCCCATCCTGCCCCTCTCCTCCGG